TGGGGCCTCTGGGGGCCTGGAGGATGAAAGATGAGGAACGATCAGGAGGAACAAGTTGGCAAAGAACCGGATTACAGGGCGTTTTTGTTATACATCGGATTTTTCAAATATAGAATTGTTAATACATGATTAATGTATGAATAAATTTATGCATGAACTCATCGTTGTCTTTTGAATACTGAATCCCTGCATTTTTAATGCATGATCCGCACGCGGAACGTGTATTAAAAACGACACTGCAATTAGCATGATGAGAGCGCGAGCAAAATCAGCTGGTCAGGCGTGTTCTCCGTGAGCGGGGAGCACGCTGCGCACCAACCCTAACGGAAGCGGAGATGCAAGAGTAATGGTAAACAACTGATGCGAAAGAGGGCAAGGAGAGACTGCAAAAGCGCTGCACTTCGTCGGTGATCGGCTCGGCAAGCATCTTGACCTCGAGTCTCGCCATTCGGCCCTCCTGTGCCGAGCAAGCAGAGGAGAGGCCAGAGGGGGGTGCAGCAGCGTCGGGAAGCATGAAGAATGAACGGGGATGGGTGAACAACTAGCACATGCGTCACACTATGAAGCTGCTGTGTCAACACGTCGATAACGAATCACTAGCTGACTGCTCGCCATGCTCAACGCTCGGTGATGTCGTCTTCTCAGATTCCGCCTCCTCCGCCTATAGCCATTAAACATGCTCCCATATGTCCCATGTCCCCCCCTCAATCCTCCTCCTCCTCCTCCTCCTGCTTCTCCTCCTCCTCTTCATCCTGCCCCAACTCCTGCGTCTGGTTGTAGTTTTGAGAATCGGCGAGCCACTGCGACAACATTTTCCAATCAGGGGGCGTCGTAGAGGGGACGGCGCAAGATATGACTGGCGGCATGTGTGCAGTCCAGGGGGGCCGGGGACTGAAGTAAGACGGGGCGCTCGGAAATCTGGGGAGATATCATGGCCCCCGCCATGACATCCCCCCCTGGTCATCACCCCTCTCTTGGCCGCCCCCATCATCCACCTCGCTAGAGCCACCACCAGTTATCCCCCCACGACAAGTTGAGCAGGCAGGGGGCAACTGCCGCCAAGACGGGCGGGCGGCACGTCCACCGAACCAGGCCAGCGTGTGTGAGAGGCTTTTCCGTGCGAGTCGGCGTCGTCGTCGTCGTCGTCGCTCCTCCTCTCGCGCTCCAGCTGGAGGGGGGTGGGGTGTCCCCGAGGGGTGTCCTGGAGTGGGTCCTTGGGGTTGTGACCCGTCCTTGGGGGGAGCACACCTCCCTGGGAGAAGCTTTCGGCTCCAGAGCGTCAGCGTCGTCGTCTTCGCCTTCGTCGTCGTCGCCGTCGTCGTCGCCGTCGTCGTCGCCGTCGCCGTCGTCGCCGTCGTCGTCGTCCTCCTCCTCTTCCCCCTTCAAGGTCGACGGCGGCCCGCAATGCCTTCGCAATACATGGCGCGGGCCTCTTCTGGGAGAGGGGGGTGGGCTGTAGTGAGGCTGTGCACTTCCCCTCCCTCTCTCCCCTCCTCTCCCCTCCTGAGGTCCACAGTTCTCCCCGCAGCTTGCTCCCTCATTACCAGACTGAGACATACCCCTATCCCTATGTTGGGCATCGCCTCATCACGATGGCGATCTCAGGGATTTCCTCAGTTTCTGAGGGTGTACCCCTAAGATTGTCATCTCCTTTTGGCGTGTCAACCTTAGGGATAGGGATAAGTTCGAGGCTGGTGACCTCACTCGCCCGACCCCAGGGGCGGCGAGGCGCGGAGCCGAGCGGCGACCAATGGAGGGGACGGGCCCGGTCCGGGCCCCCGGAGCTGGGCTGCAAAGGCGGGCACGGCGCTCCGGTGCCGCCCGGCCGCACCCTGGGGACTCTTGCCCTGGCAGGGGCCTTAAGGGGGCATCCCGTCCCCGGGGGACCAAGGGGGCATCCTGTCCTGTCCTGTCCTACCCTGGACCCTTGCCCTGGCAGGGGGCCTTACGGGGGCACCCCGTCCCCTGGGGACCTCGCTGGGCTTCTTCTGGCCCGCGTCGTTCCGGCGGGCCCTCGTGCTGTGCTGCTGGAGGTGGGGGCTCACGGCGTGAGAATAATCACGCGCCTGCACGGGAGGAGCGCTCGTTCAACGGGGCATCGGAGTCCAAGCTGTTGGGGAAGTGGGGGGGGGACTGTCCTGCTGGGGCTGCCAGGGGCGCTCTCCTCAAGGGGAACCTTCCTGCCGCGGTCCCGCACAGCGAGGCCGCTCCCTCGCCCAACGTGTTTGCTCCCCCAGGGGTGCACAGGGCCATCTGCTCCCCGCCGCCAGAGCAGAGGCGGAACCGCCCGCAACGATCTGACAGGAGTCAGAATCGCAACCGCGTGCGCCTCCCCGTCTGGGATTACCCGCTGGCCGCGTCCACGAAAGGAGGAGGGCGAGGAGGCTAGACGAGCGAGCAACCAACTGCATAAACATTAACTTTCGAGAATCCGCGCGGACCTCCGAATACCATGGAGATGCTTCAGCACAATGCCCAGGTAGCGCCTTCCCGGCAGCACGGACTGGCAATAGGAGCGCACACGTCCACGCGCACCTCTCCCCGTCAGTGCAAGCTTGTGTGCGCAACTACGCGCTGCATACCACCTGCCCCCGAGGGTTACGGCCGGGAACTTTTGGATAGCGTATCGCGGCGGCGGCCTCGGCGACGCGCTATGCCCTGCAAGCGGGAGCATGTTGCTCCGCTCCGCGGAGCGCCAGACTCTGAAAGGCTCGGGATGTTGAAGCCTGGAGGCCAGGATGTGAATAGAGTGTCGCGCCGAAACGTGGTGGGCCAGAACTGGAGGAGCGATACGCTATCCAAAGGTAACAGACCGTATACTTCGCAGAGGAAAGGGGTGAGGAGGAGGAGGAGGAGGAGGAGGAGGAGGACGACAACGAAGAAGCCGAGCATCGGGTCTTGCGAAAGGCGACTCTGGCTCAAGACTCTCTAGCTATCCCAAGGGGGCCTGGCTGCCCTCCAGAGTGCCCCTCTCGCGGCCCTGAGGGTCCCAGGGGCACCCAGACAAAACGGCGCGAAAAGCGCGCAGGGGGGATGGGGCACACTCGGCCAGGATCACCCCTGTGGGCTTCCGAAGGGAAAGGGTGGAAGGGAGGGAGGGAGGGAGCGAGGGAGGGAGGGAGGGAGGGAGGGGAGGAGGGAACGATGGAGGGAGGCACAGAGGGAGGCGCTACACGCCGCTCCTCTGCACGCCCGGGCCGCCTCCCGCGGCGGCCCGGGCCCAAAAGTCTGGCGCCGCGCCCACTTGCCCGTGGCCCCCGCGAAGAGATGCCGGGTGCTGCCAGACGTGGCACTGGCCAGCGCCGGCGGCGGGCCCAGTGGGGCCTCCTCAGAGGGCGCAGCGCCTGCCGAGGAGCGCTCTGCGCGGGCGCCGAGCTTTCCGCTTCCCCCCGCGGCGCGAGGCGCGAAGAACTTCGCGCCCTCGCGCCGCCCACCAGGGGAGACGAGGAGGGTGAGGAGGAATCGGATCCAGATCGCGAAGCGCGAATGACTTCGCGCCCTCGAGGGCGCCCTTGGTTCTGAACCTTCTGCAAAGATACCCGAGGCTTTTGAGAGCAGCCCCAGCGCCTTCTGAGAAGGCAAGCCGCCCTGCCTTCCCCTCAGGGCGCGCCCCCGACAGAGGTGCCCCCAGCTTGTCGCAGTGTCTTGGAGCCCCCCGGGGCCCTCTGGGCCTCGTGAGGCGTGCTCTGGAGGCCATCTGGGCCTCCATGGAGAAACTGGGGCCGCCTTGGGCCAGAGTCCCAGACCCCGACTTCGTGATGTTCTCACGGCGTGGAGCCCCAGAGCTCCGGGAGTCTACGGCAAGGGGTTCAGACCTTTGGTCTGGACCCCCTTCCGTGGACTACTATCTGATCCTGTGGCCCGGCACAATGAAAAACCTCCCGTCGAAATTTGTTCACGACTCGAGGGGGGTTGGGGCCACCTCTGGCAATGCCCGAAAATGACGGAGGACCACGTCAGGGTCCTCCTCCCGCCAAGCTCTGTCCTCGACCGTCCAGGACGGAGAGAGAGGTGCCCGAACACTCTCGAGGGAGCTTTTTGGCGCTGCGTGCAGTCTCCTGACCCCTGACCCAGGCCCCCTCGCGTCGTGAAACGTCCTCGGCGGGAAACGGTGCCCTCCTCTTCGACCGCTGCTGGCCCTCCCCGGGCCTCGGGACCGCCCAGCGACGGCTCAGGAGGAAAAGACGCCCACCCCCGCGAAGGGGTCCCAACCCTGTGGGGGGCCCACGTCGCGAACAACAACACGGCGTTGGAGACCTGTGTCCCGGGGGCCTCCCTGGAAGCATGCCCCCGGGGGGCGAGGGGACCTCGGGCTGGTCGGGATCCCGCGCGGAGCAGAAGCTGCCACCTCGTCCTCCGTCTCTGCTTCCTCTTCCTCGCCGGCTCTCTGACGTCGTAGTAATCTGGCGTGGAGCCTCTCCTCGCCAGTTTCCTCTGCCTCTTCCCCGGTCCTCGCCATGGAGCTCTCAGGACCTCGCCCCCGGGACCAGCTTGCCGTCGTGGGTCGTCTTGGTCTGTTCGGATCCAGAAGCCCTGGGCCCCAAAACATTGTGACACCTCGTGGGGGCGCTGCCTTTCGGCTGGGACGAGGCGAAAGCTCTTGGCTCGCCCACAACGGATACGAGCAATAATGGGACGATGCCCAACAACACACGTTACCCAACACCGACGGCGGCCGCTGTTGGGCAGGCGACTTTGTGCTTCAAGCGGACAGTGTCCGTGGCGACGCCGGCAGCGAATCTGGTTGAAAATGGGCAGCAACGTCTGTCGGCATTCGTCCCCATGATTTCCGCACCCATTTCGCTCGTGCCGGAGCTCCTTCGATCCCTGCAGGCGAGGCCCGATCCTGGAGAGCGCCACTTGCCGCGCAACGTATGGCGGTGCGGCTCCCTCCTCGCCCCCTCAGAAGCGACCGCGACCTCAAAAACTCGACCCCCAGGCTTTGACCCGCGATCCTCGATCGTCGTCCTCCTCCTCCTCCTCCTCCTCCTGCCGCGGCCTCACTTCTTGCCGGCGGCGCCAGCAGCGCTGATCGGCCCCTGGGTGAGGTACGTCAGGCAGCCACTGGCCACGATCAGCGCGGACAGGCACGAGATGGCCGTCGAGGGGACGTGGGTGAACAGGGGTGAGACGAGCACCACGAGCGGGCCTCGAGGAGACTCCAAGAGGTCGGTGGGATGTGAAGGAGAGGTCGAGGGTCGAGCCCATCGGATCTAGCGATTCGGTTCACCCGCATTCGTGTTGGCATCCGCCGGCCGCTCCCTGGCTCTGGGCCGGTCCACAAAGAGAGCCCCTCCCCCAGCTGGCAGGGCGCAGGGCTGCGCACAGCAAGACCTTGTTTTGGATCAAGCCTTACTTTTTTGATTTGCGGCCCGCAAGGAGAAGTCCAAAGGGCGGTATGACCGAGGCTGGGGCACAGCGCAAGATAATTAGCGCGAGAACGGATCAAGCCTTACGCGATACACAAAAAAGTGGCTACGCTTTTCGCCCCCCCAGGGGCTCTGCGGACCATCGGGCGAGCATCGCCGACGACGGGGCCAGAGGCGGCGCGGAGAGCGCAATGTGCCGTGTACAGTGCCGGCAGCCCCGGCTGGCCTCAGCAGGGCTCAGCCCAGAAATTCTCAACACCACGGCGCCGCCTCTTCGCCACACCAGCACCGCCCTGGATTACCTTGGGGGCCTGCTGAGGCCAGCGGGGACGATACCGCCGAAACATGGCCACGCGACTCTGGGCCAAGATCTCGAGCCCCCTCACCCACGGCAGGCTATTGACCCTCGTGCCAGGGATACTCCCCCCTGGGATCCGACGGCGGCGCAACAGAACAGATGCAACGATCATCGTGGCAAATGACGACGTGGCAAAACATCACGACGCCACATCTATCTTAGGGAAAAGGAAACGCGCCACCACCACCACCACCGCCACCATCACCACCACCACCACCACCACCTGGAGGAGGGAGGCACAGGGTGGTCACTGGTGGTGGTGGTGGTGGTGGTGGTGGTGGTGGTGGTGGCGGTGGTGGTGTATATCGTTTCGGGCGCTCTCGCGGGACATCGTGCACACCCATATCCCGCAAACCAGCTCATCCTGAATCCCCCCAGGTGGTGGTGGTGGTGGTGGTGGTGGTGGTGGTGGTGGTGGTGCCTGCTCCCAATTTCTGCGGCATCTCTCAAGCCGGATCAGTCCGAGAGTGTCTGGGAACCCGAAACAGGGAGAACGCCAGGGTCAGAAAATTGCAACGTCCGGATCTCAGGGGTGCGCAACCTTAGGCATTGCCATCGAGACTGGCCATCCCTCACCCTCTTCTGCCATGCTATTGCTTTTGAGACCTCGGGGCGGGTCCTCGTCAGCCACGACGCTAGATCCCCCCATCATCCTGACCAGAAACGCGCTCTGGGACAAGTCCCGGGGAGGAGAGGGGTGGGGGTGCGCTTCGCATATAACTGGAAGGGAGGAAAATAAGAAGGGGGAGACTGTGGGAGAAGGACGGTCAGCACGAGGAGAAGAAATCCGCCGCAATTCTCGCAGGGTGACGGAGCATCATTTGCACGGTGCAATGGTATGTTGTCTGTGGTTTGTCCAGGTGCGACAACCCTTTGACGCAGACCGGGTCGAATACCGCCCTCCAGTTTTACGCTCTGACGCTCTTTCTGGCACCCAGACGGCTCCAGCACGGCCCAGCAGTCCACTCCAAGACGGATGCGGGATGTCCCAAGACTAGCCGAGGAAGGCCCAACGAGTCTTCCCGAGCTCCGCGAAGTCCCAAACATGCATCAAAAGGCTACCAAACTAGCCTCCAGCCAAGCCCGAAGAAGCCACACACACACCATACAAACATTACGAGCAAGTGTGCTTGGCTTTCTTCCGAGGCCTTTCGGCGTCAGATCGCCTCGGGGAAACTTCGGAGAGCCCCAAGAAGCCGCCAAGACGGCCAGAGATGGACCCAACATGGTTCGAGATTCCTCCCAAAAGGCCCAAGACCCATGACCAACCCAGATGTCCCCAGGATCTAGGCCTCTTCGATAAAGCTTGGTAGAACAGCTATCGCGCCCAAGACGGCCCGGAGATCCCCGACGGGCACCCAACATGCCTCAAGAGACCCCCCCAAGAGGGCCCCAAGAAACCCCGAGTGGGAGAGCACCAAAAAGTCCAGACCGTGGTAAATGGCACCTGGGTCACGAGACACTGGGGCCTAGGATTGCTCTTTGTCCTACATCCTCCTGCCTCCTCCTCATCTTTCCTCTCCTCCCCCTCCCTCCAGGGCCACTCCTCCTCCTGCTCCTCCTCCTCCTCCTCCTCCTCCTCCTCCTCTCCTCCTCCTCCTCCTCCGCCTCCTCCTCCTCCTCCTCCTCCTACCACCCCCAACCTCATGTAAGTCAGATGCAGAACTGGTGGTAAAAACTTAGGGGAACACTGCTCGGTGGACCTTGGACAACGCAAGGTGTTCCCAGAACTCCGACGTGTGCCCAGGGACGTCGCGGAACCAAACATTCCCGAGGGGCACCTGCTGGCAGGCCAAGATCTTAGTTGGTGCGCCAGATGTCGTCCACACATCCTCTTCATTATCCTCCCTGCTTCCTTGGACCAGATCCTCCCAATCTCCAGCCCGTTGGGCGTAGGTGGTCTAAGGAGCTAGTGGTTCCAACCTCCCCTTCCACTTCGGGATACGGTCAACCTCTCCCGCGGCTTCCTCTCTGGGTATGGACGGGCCTGGTCGCGGGTCTCTGGAGCGTCCAACATGGCCCAATCTGGCCACACGAGGGCCCCAGATAGCCCAAGAGGCCAGATCGCACAAGATAGCCCGAGATGGCTCGGCTGCCAGCATGCGTCCATGAGGCCCCAAGTTCGCCCAAATATGGCTCCAAGTGGCCACGGAACATCCCAAAGCCCCCCCCCCCTCAAAGATGCCAACATCCGTCCGACACCTTGGGGCAACCAATGTGTTGTGTCTTCTCGCGCTTCTGGCATCCGATGGGCTCTGGAAGCGTCAAGATGCCTCCGGGATGGCCCAAAGAAGCCCCACGAGGTGCTCGAACGTGGCCCAAGACGGCCAAACCTGAGCCCAAGAGGTCTCCAATAGGCAATTCTTTGGACTTCGACGGGGAGAGACTGATTGGCGCCGCCGTCCTGCTTGATCGATGGCCCCCCAGACTGTTCCTGTTCGTTGAGCATAACTGTCGCCAGAATCCGTGCTACGGTCAGGCTACCAACGTGCCAACATATCCAAACACCACATACCACAGTAGCCATACGATTACTCTATGTTTCCTCCCGTGGCGGTGACAAACAGTTTGATGCGAACGCGGGCGGGAAATCAACAATTAGACCTAACAGGGTAAGCCTTGGCCCAACTGTGGAGCTGGGCCACGGTACAAATCGAATTACAGACATCGGCAAACCGACCCTTTAAGGAAAGGCACTGGGAGGGAGCTTGGAGACAACACGACGCACGACAAGCCGAGGAGGTCAGAGAGCAACACCGCGGTCCCCACAACTGTGCCAGATTGTTCCTCTTGGCTCTTGGCGGTGAATGGTACTCTGTTGCGAGCGCGGCGAGGAAGATTACCCAGTGGAGAGCCTGGGGCGGGCCCTAGCCCAGCTGTAAGGCTGGGCTCGCGGTATCATTAGACTTTACACACGCAAGCAACAGATCCCCAAACTCGATGGCCCACGCCGAAGATCTCAGACAAGGAGCGCGGGGAGCCGGCAAACTATACAACGAACGCTCCCAATTCGCATCCGTTGAACAGCTCAATCAAAAACAGTTGCACCGTTCTGTTAACAACGACCCAGGACCCCGAAGTTCAGACAACTCCCCCGTCCGAAGGCCAGCCCAGTGGCCTTCTGGTGGGGGCCCCAGAAGCACAATACATTAGACGACCAATGTCCGCACCCGGGCTCGAGACAGCGCGACCTGTAGGGTAGGGTTGTGCCACATGTAACTACGATGTGGGTGCTGCAGACACAAAGGGAGTCTCATTCGGACGCGCACAGTCTTATACCTCGAAAAAGGCGCGGCCGAACTTGAGAATGTACATCTGGGGCTCGATGGGACCTGGCAGCCCTCGACATGAACATCAGAGAAGGAGGCGCCAGGGGGGAGGGGTGTGCGAGCAGCACGGCCAGGACCTGGCCCGACATGAGACTTGACCTCGAGGAGGCCTCGACACACTTGCATCAACTCACTATCGCCCTGCGGCCCTGAGGGCCGCACTTTCCATACCACTCCCGCGTGCTGTGGCCTGACCGTCGAGCGGCTGCTGACACCCGGCCGGCGCCATGAAACAACCCAGCAGGAACAGGGGTCGCGGGCGCAGTGGTAGGGAAGGCAACTGGCGGCCGCGCGTGAGACACTCCTGAAGGGGGCGATCGCCGACGAGAGCATGGTCCTGCTGTGCCGCGCTCAACTCCTTCCAAGCGTCGTTCAGCCGGCCCGCCGTCTCGTAGCGGGGCCCTTGGCCGCCTTCCACTTCCCGCGCTTCATGCACTCGTCGAGGTTCGGCTCGCGATGGGCGCGGTCGATCGAGATCCCGCTGTGGAGGGACTGGTAGGGCGCCATCTTGAACCGTATGGGGAACTGCCGCCTGGACGAACATCGGGTCGACTTTATGTAGTCCCATGCGAATGCCCTCCTGGTGGGCTCTCCCCGACTGCACCAGCACTGCAACCGCACCCGCTGCCGAACGAGCTGTAGGTGTCCGACTCCTGGGCGGGCTCAGCGGCCGCCAACCTCGAAGACAACGAAAGGACCCGGGCAGCTTGCGGCTGCCGTGGCGACTAAACGATGGGAAGGTGAACGTTACGGTCGCCAGCATACTCTCCTCGCCATGCCCGGCGGCCTGCTCGGAACTCCTCATTCACGATGCAGTCGTCGACCTCGGCATCCCCGCGCTGCGACACGCCCCGCTTGTCGGCGAAGGCCACCAGCGCGGAGGCTTGCATCTGGTAGCAGCACCGAGTGGCGGCTGTGACGCTGTGGGCCACTACGAAGCTCTGGCCCGGCGGCAGCTCCTCCCGCGCCATGCGGCGGCCCCGCGCGGCTGCCCGGCAGACATCCGCCTGGCGCAAGCCGCGAAGGCCGGGCAGCTCCTCCACGCAGCTGCTCTCGCCACCCTCCGCGGCGGCAGCGGCAGCCGCTGCCGCGGCCCTGCCGCTGCGCAGAAGGTCGATGGCGCCTGCTCCAGCGCAGCATGGGGCGGCCCCCGCCTGGCATCCGTCCGCCACGTCAGGCCGCCGCCCGCCGCGCGGCTCCGCGCGCGCAGGCGGCGGGGGCTGCGGCGCCGCGAGGCTGCCCGACCAGGGGGCCCCGCGGCTCGCCGTCGCCAGCTGCGCCCGGCCGGGGGCGGACGTCGGCGGCCGCTGGGCAGGGCGGCTCCGACAACGGCATCTCTGGGCCGAAATGCCTCCGGAGGTGAGCTGTCATCCTCGGGGGCATTCGTTCGAGTCTCGGGGGGGTCTCCATCTTTAGGAAACAAATGTGTCGCGCACGGAATTTGCCGCGCAGGCCCAAAACATGTTGCTCTACGCGCCGCCACGCTGCTCCCGGGCATCATTCTCTATTGCGTGCAATCGAATACTAACTCACACTCAGCCCGCGCCCGAACGAGCGCGCAGCCGCGCGAGAACGCCAGGACGGCGGCCGTGCTGTTCCCCGGCAGGAGGGCCCTGGCCGCGCGCTCCACTGCCTTCACCGCGGCGCGCCCCTCCAGATGTAGGATGCTTTCCGGGAACTCCCAGCGGCCCGCCAGGACCACGCGCCACAGGGAGGCGCGCAGGAGAGCGGCGGGGACCCGAGGTCTCATCACGCTCGCCCCCATCGCCGCTGATGCCCAAGGCCCCGGCAGCGAGGCGCTCGATGCCGCCGTCCTCGGCCAGCCGCGGCCCCGCGGCCTCCGCCGCGCGGCGCCTCGCCGTTCTCGCGCCCAGGCGGTAGCGGGCGCGCTCGGCCTCGCGGCCCACGCGGCCCACCTCCTCTGAGCCCTGCGTGGATTATGCCAGCCCGAACCGGGCGATGGAGGCGTCGGACTGGAAGACGTCCGGCAGCCTCCTGGCGCCCAAGTCGACGCGCAGAAAGATCATCGCGCCGACGAGCGCCTGGAACCCTTATTCACCGCGCTGGGCCACAGCGCCGCCCAGCTGAAGTACTGCCGCTGCATGAAGCGGCACGCGTCGTGGAAGCAGCTGAGGGACTTGCGCCGCGCCAAACCCTAGGAAGGCGAGGCGGCCCACGATGATCTCCAGCTCGAGCCCGCTCAGAGTACCCAGCCACCCTGAGTTCGGCTCGGGCCCCGCGCGTCAAGGTCCTGAGCTGGTTGCCTGACACCTGCTCGGCATGCTGATAGAACATGTTGCATTTCTTCTGGGTCCGACTTCCATCGCGGCCGATCCTGAAGGCCCTCGCGCAGCCCTCGGGTGCCTGGTAGGCTGTGTGCTCGAGATAGCAGTCGCCGTCTGGCGTGCGCAGATACCACTCACCCAGGGGGACGGGATATATCAGGACTCGGTGGCGCCAGACATCATCACGCTTGTACCACAGCCCGACGTCACTGAAACAATCCTGCATCCCGACGGTGGTGTCGTCCTGGAGGCGCAGGACTGGCAACCTCCCCTTGTACGGTATCTCGGCGGCGGCAACAGCCATGTCTCTGATGGACGAGGACGAAAGCTATTGTTCCCTTGCCCGCGCCCACAACTCCCAAACAGATCTCCGATGCATGATCATCAAAACTCTCGGGGGGCTCGGGCGGAGTCGCCCCCCCAGTACTGGTCGAGGCGGCTCGGCCTGGCTGGTCTCGCCGATCGCGCAGGACTGGATTTGCCGTGGGTGCCTCGAACGCCCTCAAAAGGTAACGAGTGGCGCCCTCCGCTGCGCCCAGCCGTGCGCGCACCGAGTCCAGCTCAGCCTCGGGAGGCGCCAGGTCGGCAGGGGGCCAGTCTGGCGGTGCAGGGCACTCAGGGGCGGCAGGCTCTGCACCAAGATGCACACTGTGTGCAGGCAGTTGCAGCCAGCCCGTAAGGACGCGCGGAAGGAGGAAAGGGCCTTAAGAAGGCCATGCCGAAACTTTGCGGGCGGGGCGCGGCCAACGCGGCCAAGGCTGGGCTGAAGGGGAAGAGCAGGGAGACTCCGCCGACTGCCACAGCAATCGAGCCTGGCACACCTCAAAGACTTGATCGTTAGTGTGCCGCGGACATGCGCCATAACCACGTGCAGAGCACTTCTACGGGGTATCCTGGGGCCCCCTTGGGGGTATCTTGGGGCCTTTCGGGGGCGTCTTGGATCCTGCGTTGTCCAGGAGGCATTCATGGGAGGGAGGGCCGCTGGGGCATCTTCGAGCTCCTCTCGGAGCCATCTTGGCCCCCTCTTTGAAACCTCTTGGGCCCATTCTGGGCTCCTCTTAGGGCCCTGTCAGGCCCCTGTTGGGGACTCAGGGGCTGGCTTGCTTGAGGCGATACTTGTGGCGTCACTTTGTGGCCTCAGGGAACGCCTCGGGCCATCTGCATACCGAAATTGCGAACAAAAATCAGTCACCTGAGTCAACCCTTCGCGCATCGCGTCCCGCGATGCGCGGTTATCCTCCCGCCCTGGTCCCCGGAGGCTCCAAAACGGCCAGAAGAGGCCCGGAAGAGGGCTGCGGGACGGGCCCCTGGCGCCATCTTGAAGCAGCTTGGAAATTTAGATTCCGAGCCGTGCTCCCCCCCTGCTATATTATAGCATGGCGCCAAGACCAGGACAACATCGGACAAGGATATTTAACCTGGGAATATCTGAGATCCGGCGGTCTTCTCAGCGGGGGTTGCTAGAAGTGCCCCTGGCCCAAGAGACCCCCAGGATTTCCAAGGAGGCCCCACGGCCTCCAGAGCACCCCTCAACGAAGCACTAGGGGCCTCAGGGGCTCCAAAATTGATTGAAGAGCTGGGGGCCCCTTGTGCCAGGGGCACCTGTAGCAACCCCCGATCAGAGCGTGCCAGAACTCTCTGGATTCCGCAACGCTCTGGAACGGCTTGATCCCTGTCCCAGGCCCGCCCGACTCTCTCCCCCCCCCAGCTCGCCAGGCGGGCCTCGAAGGCAGGTGGCAACGGATTTCATCACGGCGTCCGAATACTTCAGGAGGCGGGCGATCAGCAGCCCCACGATGGACTGAAGGCCGATCGTGAGCCACGTCGGGCTCGAGAATCCTGGCGCGCTCATTGGCACCTCCTCCTCCTCCTCCTCCTCCTCCTCCTCCTCCTGCTCACGCCGTCCAGTCCTTTGCCCTCGTCACCAAGGCTGCACGCGGCTCGGAAAAGCGCTTGGGATGGTGCCCAGGAGGCGTCTGCAGGGATTTACTCTGAGCGGATTCTCGCTGAGAAGCGACACTGGCCAGCAAGGGTAGGCCGGGCAGTGGAAGAGAGACGAGCAGAAGAGAGACGACAGAGAAAAACAAGCAGTGAAGAAGATGCCGTCCGCTGCCCTTCTGGATGGAGGGAGGTGCAGGAAGCACGAGGCCCTGAGCACTCTCGGGCGGGCCCTGGTCACAGTCGCCCACGGCCCGGATCTGCCCCGAAGTCTGGCACCTCGTCTGCCCCACGGGGCCGACCTCCGCGTCGTCGAGTCCGCGTCGAAGCCGCGTCGCAGTGCGCGTCGAAGCCGCGCCGAAGCCGCGCCCGCGGGGACCCCGCGCTGGGCACGAGAGAGGCCCTCGGCCTGCCACGCACGCGGGCAGGGCGAGTGCGGGTCGGGCGGGGCCCGAGCTGCGGGGGGGGGGCAGAACGCAGGAGGCAGCTGCTGGGAGGGCTGCACGTCGCTCCTTGTCTGAGCGTGCTCGCTTCTGAAGCGTGCTCGTTTTTCTGGTGGTTCCTGGCCCCCACAGGGCCAGGAACCACCAGCCCATGGCAGAAGAGTCAGAATTTGAGCAGGGACCGGCCGTCCCGGCATTCCTATAGTCATACCACGACATGTTCCTAGAACCCAGCAGTGTTCTAAGAACAAAAATATTGTTCTTAAACATAAACCCGATGTGATAAAACAAGACAGACTCCGCCAGAAATGTTCTAAGAACATTTCGTGGAAACCATAAAAGGTTCTTAGAACATTGTTTGGTAGGGCTATAGGCGAGCCAGGACGCTTCGCCGTTGCTTGAAGAAATCAAAGGATCTTGGCCCCCCAGAATCAAAGAACTCTCGAATAATTAGAGATGAGCAACGTGTACTGCGCCGAATCAGGCCGCGGACTAGGCGGGATCGGGCCGCGGGATGAAGCTGGACTGAACGGGGTTCAGCGGGATAAACAGCCGGATTCAGCCAGACTTCGGACCAGGGCAGAGTCAGAACTTGACCTCCCAGGAGTTGCACCCGAGTCAGGGGGCCCGAGCTGCGGGAGGAGCCAGAACCACGCCTGGCCTCGGAATCCCCGGAGGCGTCCGAGGCTTCATCTCGTCGTCCTCGGCGGCGTCCGAGGCTTTCATGGCTGGCGTCCAAAGTGGGCCCGAGTAGACGGGGTCGGAGGATTGCGCCACATCGCCGATGCATCGACGACACGTCGGCGACGTCGGCGATGCATCGGCGCCGTCGGCGCGGAGAGAATCGGGCCACACATCGAGCCGCGTCGCCGCTGCAGCGGAGAGGCGGCGCAATCCCCCAGCCCCATCTGCTCGGACCCCAGCTGGGAGGCCTGGCACCTTCCAGCCGACGCTTTTGGGGGCTCCCGGGGCCCTTCTCGGGCCTCATCGTGCCCAGAATGAGGGCGGAGGTCATGGGAAATTACTGTGCCCACCAGCAGCGGTTGTTCACGCGGAACAGTCGTTGCTGTCCTGCAGGGCCCCTCGGACAACACATCCTGCGGATTGACAGCAATACGCGTCCATCTGGCAGCAGCTGTTGCCCAAATGGACAAGCATTGCTGACAGGCTGGCCAGAACGAAGGACAACATATCTTGTCCCGCATGAGCAGGCACTGCTGTTTGGCATCGTACCCACACTTCTCGTCCCCATTCTGGGCGAACAAGTTCTCAGGCCGCAGGAAGCTCAGAGAGCGGCCTGGAATGAAGAACTCGGGCCCCCCGCGGGGCGGGCGGAGACATGGCCATGTCTTCTTGTCGGTCTCTCTGGGAAGTCCCGCCCCGGGCGCCCCAAAGCGCAGTGATCAGAAGGCCCCAGATGACAGGCCAGTCGCCCCTGAGCAACGGCCTGAACAACGGCGGTGAGGGCATTGGATAACGAACCCCTAGATAAGGAATCCAGGGTCTGAAAGCCGGTGGAACTCCAATTGAGCCTTGACAATGGATATCACCGCCGCCCTCATCAGATAAGGAATCCTCCAGGGTCTGGCGCCTCCTGGGCACAGTCCTTGACGAACGCACCCCACTGTACGGATCGGACCGCGATTCCGGGTCGGATCGGATCGCCAGCGGCTTGCCAAAAATCGAGCCGACGTCTCATCGCCGCGCCTGGCTCCCGCAGACCCCGCCCGATGCCGGCGGCACGCACACAACTGAATCGAAGCGGAATCGCGGCTCCAGCCGCCGTGCGTGAAGCCCGTGTGGAAACACCAAGAGATCTAGGAAATCCTGGGAACCCAATAAGCCTTTGAACGAACCGTCAGCATGACCTCTCGCTCCTCTGATCCTCCCTCCCCCTCCATGCGCCGCGAACCTCTGGGGAGGGAGGGGTGGCAGCCGCACTGCGCAGAGAGCCCCGCCCTGGCCTGCAGACAGGGAGCCGAAGCGCTGCGGGTCGGTGAGAAGGAGGATGGCCGTGGTGAACAGCGCGCCGAACATGTACAGCAACATGTTCTGCACGTTGATGTCCAGGCCGCTGTTCCGCTTCAACGCGTACTCGTTCGCGACGCTCCCGGCCGAGTTGCAGAGCGTCATCGCCACCACCCACAGGAATCGCCAGGTGATCTCCCCGGAGCTGACCGTCGAGGCGACCTTGTTCACGATAAGCCCCATGAAGACGACGACTATGCCCATCAGACGGGTGTACCCGAGCGGTACCTTGAAGACGAATCTCCACAAACTCGCGGTCCACAGAATCATCGTGTCACGGAATATTCCGAAATCGCTCATGCTGTTCTGTTGTATGGCGTGGAACACCAAAATGTTGTTCACAGAGTAAATGGCTGCCGGCACGGCCATATACAGCATATCGGAGAAGGAGAACTCCGCAGGAACCACCCGCCTCGCCCTGCCGAGAAAGGAGGCCGCGTACACCGCCGTTGAGAGGCACAGCTTGATCGCCTCCGTGATGAGCACGGCGCACACTGGATTGAACGAGTAGTCGGGCTGCTTCTGCACCGCGATGGAGATGTCGATCGCACAAGAGAAGAATACCCGCCAGCCCGCTTGGGGGGGCACCAGACCGTGAAGCTCTCTGCCTCATTGCTGCCTCGTTATTATACTCTCGTCTTCTTTCACATCGTGTCTCTCGCGCTTCTTGGCCCCAGAGGCCTCCACGACGGCCCAAAGACTCCCAGAAAAGGCCCCCGAGAGACGAGGACAGCCGAAGATGGCCCCGAAATTGCCCAAAAAGACCCCACGAAACGCCCGCGGCACACCCAGTTCGGAAACGGTCTCCAGATCCGGACGCCGAGAACGAGTAAGAAACTTGCCTTCACGATACGTTTGTTCGCGACGCCTAGAGGTCTGCCGGGGATAGCGCAGCCCAGCAGATGTAGACAACGCAGACGATGTACGGCACCAGGACCTGGGTGCTCCGACGCACTGGTGTCTCTCTGACCCGAGGGACCCAAGGAGGTCTCGACCCACCCCCCGGGGCAGTCTTAACAGGAGAGCCCAGAATCAAATCGACAAGTCGGATCGGCAACCGACACGAATCGTATCGGCGGAAATCGGCAGCCAAGTCGGGAAAAGTCGAATCGGCGGAAATCGGCAAGCTGGTATGCGTCCGTTGAAAAACCGGGACCCAAATTGGAATCCCAAATCGAATCGAATCGGAATCGGAACCCATCGAAATCGGATCGAATCGAATCGGGGGAATCGAAACGAGCCCTGTCTTGAGGCCGTTGTATATGTTTCAGCGATTTCCCAGGTTATTCGGGGGGGGGGGGGGGGAAGGGGGGGGAGGTGACGGCCGATGATCCAACCTCTTCGCGTCGGGCAGAACCAGACGTGCCCGCGCGCACAAACGGCGCACCCCCTTCGGACCTGCGCAACCGACAAGGTCAGGTTATCTGAGGAGGAGGAGGAGGAGGAGGAGGAGGAGGAGGAGGGGGAGGATGGGGGGGGGGGGGCGCGCGGGCCTGACAACCCAGGCTATCGCCGCACCCCTCGAAGAGCAGCCTCCTGCCATCCTGGGTCCGTGCGTGACTGCCCCCGGGGCCCGCGAGCTGCCCCCAGAAGCCAGAATCGAGGGCAGAACACAGCACTGATCGGCGGTGGACGGACCTCCCTCTAGCAAACCTCCCTTTCGTGAAACCGGCCTGGGACCGAAACCGACGGACCTGGACCCGCAAAAATGACGGCCGCGACGCCCTCTCGCGAACCGAAGACGGTCGATTTGCTAATCGGAGAAGGGTCAGGGTAGGAGGTCTATCCACCTCCGAACTGACGGAAGCCTGTAGGCCCGGAGTCCATGGACCCTCGGCACCAGGGGGCTCAGCCGCCCTCCCAGCATCAGCGCGGCCAGCCCCAGGGCCAGGGTAACGAAGAGGGTGCCGACGGGCGCCATCCTGGGCGCATGCGCCGCGTACGAGCTCCGGAACGCGTAGGCCGCGCCGATCTCACCGAGGCGGGGAAGAGCATCCGCGAGAGACTCCTCCCGAGGAGACCAGGGATGGCGCAAGGGAGAGGGCAGGAGGGAAGCACGGAAGGGGACGAAGGGGGAGGAGGGGGGGGAGGAGGAGGGGGAGGAGGAGGAGGAGGAGGAGGACGAGGAGGAGGAGGAGGAGGAGGAGGAGGAGGAGGAGGAGGAGGAGAAGGCGGAGGAGGAGAGAGGGAGGAGGAGGAGGAGGAGGAGGAGGAGGAGGAGGAGGAGGAGGAGGAGGAGGAGGAGGAGGAGGAGGAGGAGGAGGAGGAGGGAGGAGGGAGGAGGGAGGAGGAGGAGGGAGGAGGGAGGAGGAGGGAGGAGGAAGAGGAGGAGGAGGAGGAGGAGGAGGAGGAGGAGGAGGCGGCTACTGCTGCCCGATCGGCTTCGCGCTGGGCGTGCTCGGTGTGAGGATGAGGCGGAGGAGGACGGAGGAGGGAGGGAGGGAGGGAGGGAGGAAGAAAGAGAGGAAAGGAGGAGGCAGGGAGGAAGGATGAGGAAGGTAATGGTCAAGGGGGGAGGGAGGGAGCGAGGGAGGGAGGAGTGGGGGATAAAGGGGCGCTGGCAGATTCGCTGGGGCGCAGTTCCTCTGGGGACGGAACGGTAGCGCCGTGCCACCGATGTTGTTCGAACCTAAAACCTACAACAAATTTAGAAATGCAGCGCGCACGCGATGCAATGGGGGAGGAGAAGCAGGAGGAGGAGGAGGAGGAGGAGGAGGAGGAGGAGGAGGAGGAGGAGGGGGGGGGAGGAGAAGGAGGAGGAGGAGGAGGAGGAGGAGGAGGAAGAGGAGGAGGAGGAGGAGGAGTGCAGAACTCGGGAGTCTCTTGGCGTGGCTTTGAGCCAGCCCACGGCAATCTTCACCACATAGAGGCTGAGTGTGGCGAATATCAAAACAAGGATGCCGCCACACAGTGTCTTTGGGATGTGTGGCCCGAATTGAGGCTAACAATTGAGCAGAATGCCGATCCAGCCGGCGGCGCTCTTATTCCGACCGAAGGGCGGGCCGACAAAGAAACGCGGGCCAGGGACGAAACGGGGACGGGCCGGAAAGCGAGGAGCCGAGGAGCGAGAAGGGGAAGAGGCGAGGGAGGGACGACGACAGGAAAGGACAGACCGGGCCGACGGACAGAGGGACGGGAGACGGAGAGAGGCAGCCAAGCAGGGAGAGAGAGAGGAAGAGGACACAGCACACCAGGGGGAGGACACACGAGGGCGAGAGGGGGAGGACACGGAGAGAGGGATGGGAGAGAGAGGGAAGCAAGGAGCCAGAGGCAGGGCAGGCAGGAGGGACACACAGGGACAGCGGGCAAGGGGGGGCACGGGCCCAGCACGGCGGGCAGCGGGTGAGACGGAATCGGCTCATCTCGTACTACAGCGCACGCGGCTGTGAGGCTGGAGAGGGAGAGGAGGAGGAGGAGGAGGAGGAGGAGGAGGAGGAGGAGGAGGAGGAGAAGGAGGAGGAGGAGGAGAAAAATGTACATTCACTGCCACAGCGGCGGCACGTGGCCAGGCGACCAACCGCCTACCTCCACGCCCGGGGCGAGATCGTGGAGGCGTCGCAAAATGGCCCGCGCGTTTTCCCTGTGAAGGGAACATGACAATCGCTGGGCTATTCGCAAGCTCTCCCCCTCCGCCTCCCCGCGCCAGCAGGCGCTCGCGTGCTTGGCAATCGTGTCCAAGGTCTGCCGTGCCGTCTTCCCCCAGCCGCCGCTGTGGGATTCGATCACCATCGGTACAAAAGACAGGCCTGCGCCCGTGCACAGTTCCTCTGTTGTGGCGGTCTCTCCAGGGGCCTTAAAAGACCTCTTGAAGTCCTCGTATGCGCTCAGGACAGACTCTGGGTTCGTCGCAGCGTCTCGTAGCACATCTGCGCGCAGACCCGACGTGCAAGCGAAGTCCAGGGCAGCAGGTGTCCCGCCCAGAGCTCGGGGGAAGAAGACATCGGCAGGGCGTCTCCGGGACCTTGCAACGCCCGGGGCCTCCCCTCCGCCACTGCTGGGAGGCGTGCCGTCGCCCCGCGGGCGTTCCGGGAGCAGACCGGGCTTCTCCCTCTCAGGGCCCATCTGACCCCGAGAAGGAGGGTGTGAGGGAGAGGAGAGGGGGGTAGAGTGGATGGGGAGACAGAAGAAGAGGAGGGATGGAAGAAGCAAGATTCAGCAGTTCAGCAGGGGAAGAAGGAAGGGAGGGCGAGGAGAACGAGGAGGCATCGAGGCAAGAGGGAGGAGGAGGAGGAGGAGAAGGAAGAGGAGGAGGAGGAGGAGGAGGAGGAGGAGGAGAAGGAGCAGGAGGCGGAGGATGAGGAGGAGGAGGAGGAGGAGGGAGGAGGAGGAGGAGGAGGAGGAGGTAGGAGGAGGGAGGAGGAGGGAGAAGGAGGAGGAGGAGGAGGAGGAGGAGGATGCGCAGGGGGAGAGATGTATGTATTGAGCGAGCCTTGACACATGCAGCCTGTCGATGTATGGCGGCGCTGCAGCTAAGGATAATATGCGGGGATGCAGAAGATATCAGGCTGCGGGCCCCAATTCAACCAGGAAGGCATATGTGCAAATGTAGGCGCGAGCACGACACCTGGAAAGGTGTGGCGTAGGCTGGGAAAGTGGCAAACACTGGAGCCAGCAGCCTTACAAAAGGCTGGAGTCCGTAGCTGCTAATTGGTTTGGGCTGAAGAGGCTCAACGTCGCCTCGCCAACTTAATTAGGGACAGGCGGGAATCGACAATTCGCTCGAGATATCCAGCATCCCCATCCACAAGGGGAGGCCGAGGTGCAGGAAGAGGTGCAAAAGGATGTCCTGGACGGGCCAGCCTACGCACGTGCATCAGACAATCTCTTCGCTTACTCGGCTGTACCTGAGCTCGGGGCTTCTCATCGTAGGCGTAGCTACTGGGACACGCTGCGCGCGAACCTGATTCCACTGCAAGCTCACTCCCAATTCCACTACATATTTGCGACAAGGCGGCCTGCTGGAGGGCCGACGTGTTACAAACTCATGGCGAACGTCATCACTCTCACGGCAAACTGTATCATGCGGCTCACTGGAGCGGGAACGCACTGGAGCGGGAGCCGCATCGGCGCGGGCGGGACTCGCCTCGCGCGCCGCGGCAACAGAGACTGGGCCAGTGACCTCGGTGGTAGCCTCGATGGTGCCGTCGCAGGCCTCCCTCCCCGGGAGGTGGAGGGGGGTGGGGCCCGCAGGCTGCCTCGCCACCTTCCCCAGGAAGCCCCGACAGGGGGCGCTGGGGGGAGGGGCCTGCCCACCTCTGCGGTAATTGCAGGCCCAGCGTGAGGTAGATCACGATCTCGGCCGGCGGCAACCAGCTCCAGCTTCAGGCCAGACGAGGATGCGAACGAGCATGGTGAAGACGTCGTCGTCGTCGACGAGGGAGCGACTGCAGGCGCACTGCGCGCTTCAGGCCAGGGCGTCGCAAGGGACGCAGCACCAACGCGTAGGACGTGCAACGAAATGGGCAGGCACGCTGGCAGCACCAGCAAAATCCCCACTTCTCCAGCAGCGCAGGGCGGCAATCTCGACGGTGGCCCACACAAACGCCGGCTGCTGGCGGAGGCGGCAGCTCCCGAGGAGGCCGCAGCAGGGGCGAAGGCAATCTCGACGAAGACGTCGGTGGAGGAGCAGGCTCGATGTCCTCCGACGCGGCAGGAGCAGCACCGGCGGCACCGCACGTCGAGGAGCGTGGGGACGTGGCCGGCGGCGGCGGCGCACGCCGCGTCGGGAGTGGCGGCGGAGCATGCGCTGGAGGCCCGCCCCGCCTGGGAACAGCAGCAGGAGCAGACCCATGTGCACGCACACAGCTGGGCCATTAGTAAGTCGGGCCTGTCCCCCTATACAGGAGGATGTTGGACGAGAAACTCTTAAAATACCCCCAGAATGCCCCCGAAATGCCCCAAGATGGTCAACACATCGATCGCCCCCAGACTATTTTGTTCACTACTTCTGAACGTCCCCCCTGGAGAGGGACCGGTCCGACTGAAGGTCCTGACGACGCACTCGACGATGGGCGTCCAGTTGAACACGCTCGCCTCGGAGGGCCGGGTCGCAGGACTGGGCAAGAGCGGCCATGCCGCCCGCCCTGAGGCCAGCGGCCGACCCTGGCCGCATGTAGCCGAGCCCCCGCGCGGCAGCGCGAGGAACCTCGGGGGCGGCCAAGAGGGGGGTGTCCAAGGCGGCACGTGCGCGGCCCAGGGAGGGGGCCAGGGAACGTATTGAAATAAGAGGAGCCGCCATGAAATCTGGGGAAATATCATGGCCCCCGCCACGATATCCCCCCCCCCTAGTCATCACCCCCCTCTTTTCCGCCCCCGAGAGCCGGCCGGCAGCTGCGACGGCGCCGGCCGGAAAAAAGGCTCCTCGCACGCGGCCGCCAGCTCGGGGCGAGGCCCAAGCGGCAGGGGGGCAGCGCGCACGAGGCCGTGGCCCCGAGAGCAAGAGGCGGGGGGCAGAGGGCGCCCCCCTCCTCCTCCTCCTCCTCCTCCTCCTCCTCCTCCTCCTCCTCTTCCTCCTCCCCCTCCCCCTCCTCCTCCTCCTCCTCCTCCTCCTCCTCCTCCTCCTCCTCAGCACAAGCCCTGTAGGATGGAGGGGGGCGAGGAGGGAGGTTACCAGCCTCGAACTGATCCCTATCCCTAAGATTGGCACGCCAAAAGGCGATGACAATCTTGGGGATGCGCCCTCAAAAAATAAGGGAATCCCTAAGATTGGCATCGTGATGAGGAGATACCCAGCATAGGGATAGGGATATGTTCCAGGCTGGTAAAGAGGGAGGGAGGATGCGGGAGGAGTGCTCTTGAGTCTAACTGTGCTAGATGCGGGGTTCTGCCCTAGGCAGGAGGCGTCACAGATGCCCAGCCCAAGTCGGAGAAAAGCACTGGCCGACTCTGGGCAGGCAGGCCTTCCAGACGCCGAGAGGGAACCTCCTTCCCCGCCTTCGAGGGGCATGGACCTCGAGACGGGTCGCCGCAAACGCCTTTCAGAATGCGGGGAGGGTCGACAGTACAAAAGCCTCCACACGCCTGGCAATACAGGACCCAGCACTGCTAGCTGGTGGAATGACGGACGATGGTCTGCCAACGGGTTTGCACGGAGTCGTCCAAACATCAGTAAGCTTACCTCGGCGATTGAAACAAAGGCCACAAACATCACAGCGAACAGAAAGCTTCTTGAGGTTGTGAGCGTGCCCCAGATGTCGGAGCCGACAGAGGCGCACAGACAGAGAAAACAAGCTCCCACGAGTTCGCTGCGGCTCGCAGGTTCCACCTCGTTCGCTCTCGGACGAGAAAACGATTTCCTTCTTAACTGCTACCAAACGCTTCAAACATTGAGGGCTAGATCATCTGCCGCATGGGTGGTGTCTGCATCCTCCTCACTGACTTGGGACTGCTCAACTGCCCAGTCAGCGGATCGACCAGCCGCCTTATTCAGAGAAACCTCTACGTTAGACAGAAGCGTATTAACAGCTTGTGCATTTGTTGAGCGTCCTTTAGTCCACGGAACGTTGAGAGACTCCCCTCGCCTTCCAATGATCTTGTCAAAGATAACAACCCAAAGGTCCAAAGTGCTTGATTTCCTGGAAGCCCTCACTATGCGCCCAGCTCTTTTCACAATCAACAGTCAGTCGCAGTACACCTGGGCATCTCCATTGGTAGCCAACGCCACCTGGATGAGGGCGAAACGTTTGGCACGAATGGGAAGATTGGAGTCAGAGGGTAACGGTCCACGCTTGTCTGCATCAACTCCTCGATTCGCGCCCAAGTGGAAAATTGACCAGCCGCACCTGCGAAGGCGCCAATCCGTAGACATATTCCCCGATCCGTCTATGCCCCAAACTCAGACACCTCCTTTGATCTTCCCCCCATCCTGGAAACGGCCCCAACCCTGGGTGAGGTCCCGCGAAGGAGAGGGTGACCAACAGAAGCCTTCAAGGGGGAAGCCCACGACACCCACAACTAGCCTTATCCGGCTCAGCGACCGCAAGATCACTAGGGTGTTGTCGATCCTCCACCTCATCCTCAGCACCCCCCGCCTCCTCCCTCTCCTCCTCCCTCCTCCTCCACCCCCTCCCTCATCCTCGATCCCTGGATCCTTCACCCCACCCGCCCCCCTCCCCCACCACCCTCGTCAACCCCGCCGCCTCCTCCCTCGCCTCCTCCCTCGCCTCCTCCCTCGCCTCCTCCCTCGTCCCTCCCCTTCCCTCCCCCTCGAGCCTCAGACCCCCATCAAGGCAACCCCGCCCTCCGACGCCACATGCTTTTTGTGACGCGGTCCCCCAAAGGTCTGGACCACTTGCCGGGCGCAGCTCTTTCGCCTGGAGTCGTTCTCTTGACGGTCCCGAGGCCCGACGAGGGCTCCAGGAGGCAGACAGATCACAAAAGCCTCGCGTCGTGCCCTCATCCCGCGAGTAGAGGCCTCCCAGATGGGGTCCGAGTAGATGAAGGGCTCCCAACTTCGCGCTTCGCGCTGCGCGAAGCGCGAGGTGCGAACAATTTCGCGCTCTCGCGCAGCCTCCCAGGGGAGAAGAGGAGGGTGAGGAGGAATCGGCGCCGCAACGCGAAGCGCGAACAACTTCGCGCCCTCGAGGGCTATCCCGCGACGCGGGGAGGTTCTGGTGTTCCCCTCGAGTAGAGGCCTCCCAGATGGGGTCCGAGCAGATCGGGTCGGAGCATGCACCGGATCGCCGATGCATCGCCGCTGGGCCGCGTCGGCGATGCATCGGCGATGCATCGGCGACGCCGGCGTGGCGAAACCGGGCGCCACACCGAGCCGCATCGCCGGTGCATCGGCGATGCGGCGAGATCCTGCGACCCCAGCTGCTCGGACCTCCTCCTCCGCAGGCCGATGGATCGAGGCGAGCTCCCGATAGTCGCTTCGCTGCCGGCCCCGAGGGCCCGGCGGCCCAGGGAGGGCCCCCCGAGGCAGAGCCACGGCCCAGAGAGCCTCGCGCCGTGACTTTCTTGCTCTCGCGGCGCGAGGGGGTCTGGGGGGACCCCCTCGAGGCAGGCAGGAGGAGGCTCCCGGGGCGCCGCCGCCAGAGTGCCCCGCCCCCACAGGGCGCCGCCCTCCGGCGGCCGCAGCGCCGCGTCCGCCAGGCTGGGCAGCTGCTCGAGGCCCGCCAGCCACACGCCGGGCCAGAGGGCGGGCGGCCCCGCGCGGAGGACCGCCGCCTCTCGGGGGCAGGGGGAGAGAAATCGGCACGGAGCTCCACACGCCACACGTGGCGCATGGATAATTGAGGATCTCGACACGTAGACTGAACACACAGGTCTGACGCGATACGATCGCCAAAACGTGGGCCAATGCGTTGAGCCAACACGCAACGTATCGACTCGGACGTTTCGAGCACGGTACGTGTTGTGTATCAAAGCGGGCGTATCGAGGCAGCTAAGATAATCGAGCGTCCGGAGCTCCGCGTGAGCGTTTTCTTATTCGGCGCTTCCAGATTGGGCGGAAGGGGGGGAGTGGGGGGGGTCCGGCTCCAGACCTCTTCTTAATGCCACCGTTTGCAGCAGTGCGTCCTACGGGGGAGACTCCGCCTGCTCGAAGCAGACACCAACAACAGCCAAGACCTACTCCATGGGGGGGGAGGGGGAGGGTGCGAGGGCCTGCGCCAATCGGCAAAACAATGCGTAAGCCAGCGATCCCATTTCCCCTCCCTTGCGCGCAGACGCCAGAGGACCGGACCGGCCCAGGCAGGTTGAGATGTTCCTCCCTCGGCCCTTGTCTGCGCCGGCAGGCAGGGCGGGGCGGCCCTTTTCTGCGCCGAGCGCCCAGGCCAGGGGGTCCTCCTCCTCCTCCTCCCCCTTCTTCTTCTTCTTATTATTCTTCTTCTTCTTCTTCTTCTTCTTCTTCCTCTTCCTCCTCCTCCTCCTCCTCCTCCTCCTCCTCCTCTTTCTCCTCCTCCTACTCCTCCTCCTCCCCCTCTTCTCCTCCCCTCCTCCTCTCCTCCTCCTCCTCCTCCTCCTCCCCCTCCCCTTTCCCCTCCTCCTCCTCCTCCTCCTCCTCCTCCTCCTCCTCCAGTTTAGCGGATCGGCACTGCGCCCCCGCCCGTGGCGCGCAGAGCGCGCCAGGGACGGCGCACAGGCCTGACCAGGACAGCTCCCAGCCAGGGACGGCGCACAAGCCCGCCTCGCGCGCTCTGCATGCTGCGGCCGCCGGGCTCGGAGCGTGCAGGTGCTTCCTGGCTTAGGGGAACGAAAAGTGGCATAAGCATAACAACTCGGAGGTCCGCGCGGATTTCTCGGATCGGCGCTGGGGCCCCCCGGCGGCGCCTCCGGCGCCGTCCCTGGCGCGCTCCGCGCGCCAGAGAGGGGGGTCCAGCGCCGATCCGAGCAATCCGCGCGGACCTCCGAGTTGTTATGTTTATGTCACTTTTCGTTCCCCTATTCCTACGACTGACGACTGCACACCGCGGCCGCCAGGCCTCAAGTGTGCCGGCGCTCGCTGGGCATCCATCCCGCCTCGCGCTATTTGTTTTGGATCTCGCTCAGAGCCAGATATATTGACGAGCGAAACGCAGCCCCGCAGCCCCCACCTTGCACTGTCACGTCTCAGCCAGCAACGTAAAACGACTGCCACTGCCAGTAAGAATTGTCCCCCCCCCCGGCAGTGAGGAGCAAGCCTGAAGCCTCCGTGGTTGCCACTCCAACCGTGGCGTCGAAGATGTGTGAAACATGAGGGGGGAGCATAGCAGAGGAGAGGAACAACAAAAACTACTCGATGAAGGCCAACGATAAGGAGGGACTGGCTCAGGGGGGCCACTGCTTCCCAGCGACGCATCGCCGATGGATCGGCGGGAGGCTCTCGATAGCGAGTCCGCACTTTCCTTGGCGGGGTGGGCTATCGAATCCCGACCAACGATCAGTGGGCGATTGGGGGTCGAGGCGTACCCCCTGAGCGTGCCCCCCCTTAACGTTGCACCCGGTATCAACATAAACATTTCGAAAAAACACATACAAATTTGTTGGATCAGCGGATAGATCCTTCTGACGTGCAGAACGAACCACGGGCGGCGCCGATGGCGCCGCCAGGGGGTCCCAGCGCAGATGAAATCCGCGCGGGCACTCGAAAGCTATGGCTTATGTAGCTGTTGATGCTCCGACTCGATGGATGTTTCCGGGACGAGGGGGTCCATCGGAGTGACGTTTTACCCAGATTCAAAGAAACCTTGCCGTCCCTGGAGGCTGCGATCTGCGAAACAGTCGCCACATTCGAGGGCTGCTGGGGGGTCCCGCATAGCGACGCATTGCGCAGCGCAGATTCGACACCATTCCTGGAGGGGCTGCGACCTGCGAAATTGCCGCCACTTTTGAAAGGTGCTGGAGGGTCCAGAGGGGCGCTGTCGCGGGCCGCCCGCAGACCTGACGGCGCGCCTTGGAACGTTTGACCTCCCGCACTGACCTGTGACGGAAGGAAGCAGGGATTGTGGCGGGCAAGCTAGCCCTCGCTCGCTTCCTGCACTAAATATAAGCAGGCTTACTCATTTTGTCGAGCGCCCCGGCGACATGGCGCAGGCAACGCTACATCTTTAGCGCACGACCGACAAACGCAACACTCTTCGGTCTTCGCTCTTCACGTTCGTCGTCGTCCTCTGTCCCCTGCCACCGTCCCTCTGCTGTTGCCGCGCTGGCGGTTCGGCCCCCCGCGCGTCCTTCTTCGGCCCTTCGT